GCACACAGTTGACCATAATATAATGTCAAAAGCCCTGAATAGGATGAAAGAATAGAAGGTAGAAAGCCCTTAATTCTGCCTAAATTGATTAGGGTAGGCCACATCCAGGAACTGATTTCTTGAGTTAGCTTCTGAAGGATGATCAAGTTTTTATAACATAATTAACCCAGAAGGCACAGATATATGAATATGTATATTTAAGTTCATTTGAGCGGCAGACTGTGAGTAGAACATAGGATGAAATAAAAGAGGAAAGGTAGGCTGAGGCCAATTACCCAATGAGTAGTCTAAAGACAGTTCTGAGTTTTTCCTATAAGAAACAGAGAGAGGTCCTGTTGGTATTCAACGAGGGAAGAATAGGGCCAAATAAGCAGCTAAGAAACAGGGTGAAGAAACTGGAGGACTCCAGCTAGGAGCCTACCGAGTAGTACAGTTGAGAGGAGGAGGTTACCACCATAGCTATAGGAATGCTGAAGAGGATTGAGAGTCACAGCACAGCTAATACTTTGTGACCAGATGGACCCAGGGAGAAGGAAAAGGATCAAAGATATCATCAAGATTTCAGAGTGAGGAGCTATGAGGACAGTGCTGACATTAACAGAGAGAAGGCAGAAGGAATCACAGATATTAAAGGAAAGATAGTGAGTTTAATAAGGGCATTTTGGTTTTAAGGTGCCTGATGTCAGCTAGGGGGATCCAGTCGGCATCTGGAATTGAATACTGAGAAATATAAAAGAGGAGTTAGAGCCAGATTTGGAAATTTTCAGCTTAATGAGGTTGCTTAGCGAATATGTATGGCTACAAAAGAAAATATCAAGGAAGAGAATGGTGGAGACATCAACATTTGCCTTCAGATGTTAGTGTAGGAGATCCTGAAGGAAGCTGAGAAATGACTGTCAGAAATGTAGCTTCAGGAAACTATTAAAAATAAATTATGAATGTCTAAGGTAGATGATTTCAAATTGGAGAGAATAAAAAAAAAAGATATTGGAGAAGGAACATGAAATGTAAGAAATGAGAAGAGGAAACTGAACTTCACCATTAGAAAGCCATTGTTATTCTCTAGGAGAGATTATTTCAATTGCATATAGTGAGGTCAAACCCAACTACAACAATTTGAGTGGTTACAGGAGTAAAAACATGGTAGCACTGGGTTATTTTTCTTTCAGGAAGCTTGGTGACTGAAGAAAGGATAAGGTGAAATGGTGGCTTCAAGGGAAGAACGTATTAAAAGAAGATTCTTAGGCTCCAGGACATTGGTAGAATACATAATATGTCAAACAAGTTATTAAAATTACCATTCCAAAGAAAACCTGCTATATCAAAATTTTTTATTATGTTCCAGATGTCATGCTTTCTTCAAAAATATCAGATATCAAAAACACCAAGTATAACAAAAGAATTAGTGAAATCATTTGGAATAGGATGTACATTTTTATTAAAGTATACTTCAGAGGGGGGAGAAAAAGACTTGGAAATCAAAGGTGCAAAGCTCAGTACGGTATGTATGCTCAGATATGTCAAATAATAATGGAAAATAGAAATTTACCTTCTGCCAGTCGCTGCTTCCATCCTTGTGCTGCATATGCAAAGAATTCATTATTTAGAGCTGAAGTACTGAGGCGTAAAATTCCATCACTTCCCATCTAGGAAATAAGCAGACGAAAAAAAGATTCCATCAAAAATTGTTCAAAGCAAAATTATGCCAGAAAGAAACAAAAGTATGCCAGAAAAGAAGTGTATGTGAGAGAGAGTTCAGGTAGGAGGAAGGAAGGAAAGAAACCTAATATGAGATAAATCTCCTAGCATGAAAACCGCACTGTTTATAGTGACTATTATAATGACAAGATACAATTTAAAGGAAATTTTTATTAGGCATTCCCATTGTTGGTGGTGAGTACAATGAATGTGTGTAAATTAATCAAAAAAGTTTTATATGTTTATTATTCTAATATGCCTTAAATTCTACCAAATTAGAATGAAATTTTCTAAAATTTGTGAAAGCTAAAGGAATCCTGTCTGATCACTTGGATTCTTTGCTGAGATTTAGACAACAAAAAGTTTGAAACATATTAAAACAAAGACACCAACACTGTCATACATAGCCCTGTACTCTTCATTCTACTTTTCTCACCTCTTTGGATGCACACAAAATCAGGTATTACAGAAGAGTTTAAAATATGTGCAACTCGATGCTACTAACCTTTTTCCTCAAGCATACTAATTTTTTTTACAAATCATGTTTAGAAGAGATTCAGATACCCATCACCAAATCGGCTGCTTTTAACTTTCCAATTATTTACTGCTTCCTCTATGTGAGTGATGATGTATTCTGCTAGCTGACATTGGAGATAGAAAGAATTAATGTTGTCCTGGATGGATTTTTATGTAGTTGAAGAGTGAAGACAAAACACATAGACAATGCTAAGCATTAGGTGAGTGGGAATTAAGAAGTGCAAAAAATGAGAGCCAGGGGAAGATATCTATGTGAACATGAATGCTTAGGAGGAAGTTGATGCCAGAAGTGAAAATGGGGAAGGGCCTTGAGAGACCTACGGGATTTGGACAGAAGGTTTTAGAGATAAAGCATATACTCTACCGCCAGAGAGTACGAGCTTTACTGTAGAGGCAGAACATCACGGAAGGTGTGAGGATGTTTTAGCATGATGCTCAAAGGCCCAGCAAACGGTAGCTCCAATTATATTTTCAAAGATTTCCTCTTACTCCCATATATACGCGTCATGTATCCTAAGCTCAAATTAGTCACTAGTATCTGAAAACACACTCAGAGGTTTCTTATCCTCATGTTTTTGTTTGTTTGTGGTCTTCTCTACACTCCATCTTCACCCACTGAAATATCCCTATTTTAAATTTAACTCAAATAATGCCTTCATGAATGTGCCAGTTAAACCACTATTTAGGAGCAGAGAACACCGAATCTAAAAGTTAACATTATACCAACTACTCTAAACTGGAAAATGGTCAATAAATCCAGAAAAGACGGCCACTGTGACAACTGTAGATACACTGACAGTTGCCATCATGACATCTATAGGGAAGTCATGGATTTGAGATACGGAGCTTCATCTAAAAAAATATTCATCTAAGGTTTGCCCTGAGTATCTTTATCTAAGAAACACTAAAATATTCAATACACTTGGAAAATTTCATGATTTCATTCATTCATCGATTCATTGCTTACACACTCAGTTATTTCATCTTTATTCAACAGATACTTATTAAACCACTCATATGAACCTATACACCTGGCACCTGTATGTGTGCTGACAGTACAGTGGCAGTAAAAAGTAGTTCCTGCCTTTATAGTCTGAACATATTCTACATACAGCAGATGCTCTGGTCTTTGTACATCTCTTCCACCCACCTAAGTTCGGCACAGCTGCAAAGTACAGGTATAGCATCATGCCCGTGTCCCACCTCATAGTCTTACCGCAGCCCCAAGATGTGAGTGAATAGATGTCCTAACCCTCTCATCTTCTGACTGAACAATTCTAGGACACTATTCTCTGGAATGCAGTATATACACTGAACTAATGGATGCCATTTGGTGCTATGTCCCCAACACCTACAGTACACAGGTCTGGGAACTGAGGGGTGGAATGAAATGAACCTTTGTACCATCATTCCCTGGGAACCATTTGCAGACTGTATACTTCCTGTTCCCATAGCTCTAGATTATGTGGAATTAGAAGTCCATGTTCCCAGGGGAGAATCATTTCTACTAGGGCAGGGTTTCTCAACCTTGGCACTATTGTCATTTAGGTCCAGATAGTTCTTTACTGTGGGAGCATGTCTTATGCACTACAGGATGTTTAACAGCATCCCTGACCTATACCCAGTAGATACCAGTAGCAACCTTCTCCTAGATATGACAATTAACTGTCTCCAAACCTCACCAAATGTCCCTTAGAGGCAAGATCATCCCACTAGCGGGCATGCTAAGGGCTCCATTATAGCTAAAGCTCCGCCTGGTTACTCTGCCTTGTAAGATGGTAGATCAGCGAGCAAAGAGGAGAGTTTATGGGAAAGTGATATGATCAGCCTACCTATCATGAGGAAAGAGGACTGCTACTATCCATGAGGGGTGGAAAGAAGGATGCTGGGAATGCTGGGGATTCATGGAACTTCTCTTGGTGTTTTCATGCCTGATGGTAACAGTGAACATGGATTGCAGCAATGATAGCCAGAAAGGGCAAGGCAGTCAAGGACTCAGACTCCTCAGGGAAGACAATCTGGGCTCTTTCGCCAGGTAAATAAGCAGAAGTGATAGCCAAGGATGAGGAAAGTCAGAAATGGGTATCAGAGAAGGGAGCTGAACCTCACTCATAGCCTCGATGCCATCTTGAGAGTAGTGGAGCCTGCAGCTGGTCACTATCCCTCTGGTCATTAAGTCTTGTTCTTTTTTTTTTCCTTTCCAACATACCATGACCAGCCACTCCTTAGAGTTAGAGACAGAGTGGACTTAACAGGAAGCAAGAGATCTGAGTGGTACAGAGACAGACTATACCAGACATTTGTGATGTTCCATTCCATATCATCTGGCCTGTATGAGCAAGACAATCTGGGGTAAACAGGTTAACACACTTGTCGTATCCAAGACAATGAAACTCTACGACTTTTAGGAAGCATGAAGGCCTTTGAGATGGCATGTAGACGCAGCCTGGAAATGAAGATACTGACCCTGGGGACAACTCACAATTCATAGGTGACAAGGGCTTGTGGTAAAAGGTCCCACTCTATTATTGTCCTTCTGTGGGATGATTCTGCGGCTCATTTTACATATTTTATCAGAGAATCCTTAGCAGAACTGAGCCCCAGGTTTCTAGGAGGGTTCTCCTCTCCTTGTCTTACACTGGGTGTCTTACACCCAGTACCTGGCTTCTCCTGCCAAGCCACCTGTATTCAAGTTCTTTTGCCAGGCTCCACTTTGGGAAGGAAGGAACAGGAGAGAATCCTATATCACTGGACCTAAGGAATTTAGGCTTTATCCTCTGCATGGGGGTGGCCCAGTGAATAACCATAAGATAAATCTGAGGCAGGGCTTGAATCAGCCTGAGGCCCCAGGTTTGTGGCCTCTGGGTCCAAGTTTCCCCCTCAATTTCCCCTGCTTATTTATTGCCTTTTTCAATGTGGGCCATGATGAGGGAAAGGTAGGAAGCACTGCTCTAAGAAATGGGAAACTCCTAAAAATATTTGTGTTTAACAAGATCACTTTATTAGCTATGAAAAAAATGGAATGGAGAAGAAAAGACAGATACAAAGACATTGCTAGAAGGGTAAGGAATACATCCATGAAAGGTGATAAAAGAAGGCAAATTCAAGAGATAGTCTGGATGGAATGAAAGGCTTCAGGACTGAGGAGTTAAGGCATTGGAAGAGTATTCCGGGAGACACCAAATATGCTCAGGATGACTCTGGGAGATGGGGCGAGTGAAAAAGGAAGGTGGGCTTGTGTAGAGTCTTCAAGTATTGTTATCAAGGAGGTCCAGTGAAGACAATAAGGGTTAGGAGAAGATAGTCCATCTGAATGATATGTCTCTAGGAAGTCTGAAATTTTCTGTGAATGTTGACTCTATTTGTCCTTATAACGGGAGTACTGAGCAAAAGCAACTCCACTTAGGAAGACTAAAGAGGAAGAGGTATTCATATTGTGCAGATTTTAAATAGCACTAGTAGGTGGAAGGCAAGTTCCCTGAAAAGGTAAAAGAGTCTTGTTTGCAATGAAGCACATTTATAGAAGGAAAAGGTTAGAATTTTCTACATTTAAGGACATGTACGGTGCCTTTAATCCTCTGTAGTCATTGCAACATCTAAGATGTCACAGGTACTCAATAAATATTTAGGGCACTGTCCTTGCTTTGTGTAGTGAAAGACTTAAAATTTAACCCCAGGAGCTGATAAGCAGGATTTTAGTTTCATGTATTCTTCCAAGCCAGGGGCACGATTAGTTATTAATTGAAATTTTAGCATAATTTCAAGACACAAAGAAATACCAGTTCCAGATTAGCTCTGACAGAGTCTCAAGATTTCAGCATATGAAAATGCAAGGCAGTGTGAAATAAACACATTCAAGAATATGGAAGCTAGCCCTGGAGGAAAATGTTTGCCTTTTAAAACAGAAAAATAATATTAACTGCCAGATTTCCAGCCTGTATGAGACAGCCCAATTAAACACTACAGCTAAATTAGACTTAGGAAATACATGCCAATAAAACTTTTAAAATACACTATTAATTTTATGGCCTTTAAGAAATACTGTCCAAAAGACATAACATTTTAATGAGCTGGAACGATAAACATTTCTGGAAGGTTTATTTATTTATTTTTCACTGCGCTATAAATTCTTGTTCTGCTGATTACTCACAATATAAATGTTCATTCTGAAAACTCCTTTCACTTTCTTACAATGAGGTGTCTAAGCTATTGATAAGTTATGCTGCTTTTTGGATTAGAAGGAGAAAAACTCTAATCAGATTAATTACTACAGAGGAAAACAAATATTAGGTAAAGGGAAACATTCATATAGAGATCCTTTAACAAAGGTTTAAAGTATTGGTGAGTAATCATTTGCCGTTGGTGTTGATTATATTAATACACATTTTATGTGATGGATATCAGTGGAATTCAAAGGGTTAAAATATTTTAACATTCAATGTTTGAAGTTCGATGAATGCTAATTTTGTACTAGATTATATCTATGTTTAATAAAATTCTTTAACCCTCTAACATATTCTTTATCACTTTTTCTTATCTTAGGTTTCTTGCAAGTGATTCAGAATGCATGGCATGCAGGCAGCTTAGAGGAATAGTGAGGAATGTGCTGGAGAGTTAGACAGTGGCTAAATAATAATGGGACGCCTAGACATAGTAAGCAATTTGGACTTCATTCTACAGACAATGGGGAGACATTTTAAAGTGAAGCCAAAATATGAGGAA